CTGAAAGGCCTCGAACGAAGACGCAATGTTAGTACGAAAGTTATTTTTATACTATTTGTTGGCAGCTTTCTTGTGTGTAAAGAAAGAAAGTTTGTGGCCGAGTTTTGTGTTGTTTGTAGAGTTTGTTTTGACCTTAATTGTTTCCTGGTTTCACTAGGTTTGTATTAGGGTTTTTTTGCTTTAAATACCTCTCAATTCACATAGTAAAGTAGATAAGTTGTGTTGAATGAAAATTGCTCCTACGTGAGTGTTTTGAGTTCTTGAACCCAACAAGAAAAGAAACAAAATATATCTGACCTCTCACCTTTCATCAGTCCCTTCATCTTCTCTCTTCTGCTTGCCTGCGAAAAAGCTTCTATCTTCTCTTTTTGTTATCTTGATGAAAATGGGCGTCTGAGGGCTTGTTTTGAAGAGGGAGTATAGAAGGGTGCTTTTCAGGCTGTGCAAAAGTGGCAGCTGACACTGGCAATCTGCTAAAATTATTCTAAGTATGGTAAACAGTTCGGGTATCACATTTTGATGCTTCATTCGAGGAGATTGGTTGAGAGTTGAGACCAGGGGTTCGCACCGCATCAAAGTAAAAGTTTTATACTTCAGAGACAAGGTGTGGGGTGACTGCATTGATTCCTGGAAGGCATCGAATGAAGGCCATCAAGTTCGTTTTAGAACTAGTTCCTATTCTGATTAGGACTAGTTCGTTGTTTGTACTTTGATTTCATGTTTGTGTTGATTTTGTAGGGTTAGCTAGAGTCTATTTAAGTTCATGTTTGTATTGTGTTTAGAACTTCCTTATGAGTTGGTAGGGTTAGCTAGAGTCTATTTAAGTTCAATTATTCGTTGTAATTCTCAGTTTTTGATCATTCGAATACAAAGTAAAGCTTTAATTCATCTTGCTTATTGGCTTGGCGAATTGAGTTATTTCTTAAAAGAATTCTAGGCAATTGATTAGCTTGTAGCGACCAGCTCATCACACTGCTCGTGTTGAAGCCTCTACCTACAAAGATTGAGCCTTTCTCGCATGTGAGAATTGCACGAAATCTTCCATCCCAAAACCACAAACCGACCCTGTTCTTGAAGAGTTTCGATTTGAACCCAATTCAAATCATGGCTGACCAATTTTGATCTTCAAAGACCCTATCTAGGGCTCATTAAGTGGCATCAGAGCCTTGTTTGATACACAGTAGACAAGACAGAGGAACACGTTGGCGGTGCAACGCGTTGGACAAGGTCGAAGGGTTATGTTTCCGACGACCCTGAAGATATACGCCAGAAACCAGAGTGCGAGTCAAAGGAGAAGATCGAGGCGCAATCAATCAAACAAGCCATGGATGGACATCAGTTCAACATGGAGTAGTTCTTGGTCCATTTTGATGCAAGATTCCAGGCTGAATTGGGCCAATTTAAGCGCGAAATCGATCAGAGATTTGACGCAAGCGCTCTGCCGGAAAATAGAGTCCGAGAAGGGGACATTCAAGGAAACACAAACCAAGTGGGCGATCAGGAGTTACTGGGCGTAATTGAAGATCTATAACGGTGGCTAGTTGTAGTCGAACCCAATCATGATCACCAGCATCGAGTGCAGCGCGATAAGCACGAAGCAGAGTCGGGAGTTCCTCCCGCAATCAAGTTGGTAGTGCTAGTGTTTCAGGGAACATTGAATGCAACTGCTTACCTCGATTGGGAAAGGAATTTCAATTTGTTCTTTCAATGCGACCGTTAAATCGAAGCAACATAAAGTAGCCCTAGCTAATTATGAGTTCAGCGATTACGCTGCTCAATGGTGGGAGCAGGTACGCCTTCGCCGGCAGAGGAATCTACAGCCGGAAGTCACAACCTGTGCAGAGCTGCAGGATAATGAGAGGCAGGTTTGTCCCGACTTATTATCAGCGCAAATTGTACGAGTCTTTGCAGGGGATCCGACAAGGACCAAGAGGAGTTGAAGAATACTTCCGCAAGCTGGAACTCTTGTTGATGAAGGCCTACGTTAGGGAAGATCGAGAGTCGAAGATTGTGCATTTTCTTCATGTCTTGTGCCTGTAGCGGAATCAAGGAGAATTACCTCGTCTCTGTCACGGCTGGAAGGTCCTATGCCTGTAGCGGAATCAACGATCGACGCCACTGTATCCGTCACGGCTGGAATGTCCTAAGCCAACCACCCGACACACTACTCCAGCTTCTTCAACTGGAGGGATCCAGTGTTTTAAATGTTTTGGAAGGGGACACAAAGCTAGTAAGTGTCATACTCCGAAAATTCTGATTCTCAAAGATGGAGTGTATGTCATAGACGACAAGAAATCAGACTCGAGTGACAAGGAGAAGGTTGAAGAGCTCTTACTGCGGAGAGTTCTCCGGATCTCAGTCAGAGAGAGACCTTGTTTCACTCGCGATGTGAGGTGAATGGGAAGTTGCTGACGCTCATCGTCGACGGTGGGAGCTGCGCCGACGTCCTCAGGCAGGATGTCATCGACAAGCTTGGATTAAGCATGTTGCTCCACCCAGAGCCCTACAACCTACACTGGCTCAACGACTACGGAGCAATTCGAGTGACTAAACGAGCGAAAGTGGGCTTTAAGATCGGAGTATACAGGGACTTGTTGGAATTTGATGTAGCTCCAAAGTAGCCAGCTCACGTTTTGCTCGGAAGACCCTGACAATATGATCAGGGTGTCAGCCATGATGGATGGACGAACCAGTACAAGGTCCGGCACCAAGGAAAGAAATTTGTGTTGAAACCATTGGCGCAGGAGGAAGTGCGGGGCGATCAACGACAAATGGTGTCCAACCAACGCCGATCAAAAGGGAAGTCGTCTAAGGACTCCAGTCCTACTCTTCTCACCCGACACTTCATGCTCGCTGGGCTCGAGAAGAAGCAAACTCCGCATCAACGATGATGTTGTGTCTCGCCGGAGTACGGCAGGAGAGAGGGTCTATTGGTCAGACCAGTGGGAGGAGATTCGAAGCAAGAGGACATTGCTAATACGTTCCAAATCATCTCTGGAAACTCAAATGATGGGGGGAATGGAAAGAAGTTATGTGGATTGCAGCATCAAATTCGACCAGAAGGTGCTCTGAAACCTCCAGAACCCGAAGAAAAATCGTGTGAATGGGTTGGGGAACTTGGGAGTGATTCGATTCAGTCTGCTGTTGCAGAATCATTCAATGTGATCACGGGAACTCTAGGATCAATCAATTAGACCCGGAGATCCCTGAAATAGAAATGCCCAATTTAGAATCGAGTTTTCTGGGTGGCAACGTTTGAGTGTCGACAATGGAGGGAAAAGTACAATCGTCCATTCGACGAAGTTGACGACGAGTCGGGACATAAAAGCTACCCAGAAACTCAATTCGAACCATGACGAAGATGATGGTGGGGGTGAATTCTGCTGGAAACTGGAAATTCGAAAGCCCCAATTCGGGACATGAAGAACAGAGCCATAAATTTCTATGAGTGGCAGTTTGGGAGGGTCACTTTCGATTCGATTTAGGATCGATTTGCTGAAGCGTTTGAAGTAAGGAAGACCAAAGTTTTGAGGTCAGAGCTTTTTTTTATGTGGGAGGGACTGATATGATCTCAAATTGGCCATTAACCCAGCTGGAACTGTTGTTCAAGAAGGCTATCCAATCACTCCGAAGAACACTAAATTTTGTGTCTTTTTACAGTTTCGGGAAGCTAACTTTGGATGTATGGAACTTTTTGTTAACTTATTGGAAATGGGCGTGTGGGGGCTTGTTTTGATGTGGGAGTACCCCCTCTACACGTTGACATGATTTGGAGCTAAATTGGGAGTTCAAAAGGGTACTTTTCAGGATGTGCAAAAGTGGCAGCTGAAACTGGCAATCTCCCAGAATTATTCTAAGTATGGAAGACCATTCGGGTACCACACTTTGAGGCTTCATTCGAGGAGATTGGTTGAGAGTCGAGACTAGGGCTTCGTACCAAATCAAAGTACAAGTTTTATACTTCAGAGACAAGGCGTGGGATGACAACATTGATTCCCGGAAGGCATCGAACGAAGGCCATCAAGTTCGTTTTCTGCCTTTGGAATTGAGGGAATCCGAATCCTGTTCGGATTAGGACTAGTTGGCTGTTTGTAGTTTGATTTCGTGTTTGTGTTGATTTCGTTTTCCTTTTCCGAGTTGTATTGCGTTTAGAATTTCCTTACGAGTTGCTAGGGTTAGCTAGAGTCTACTTAAGTTCAATTATTCGTTGTAATTCTCAGTTTTGGACCATTCCAATACAAAGTAAAGCTTTGATTCATCTTGCTTGTTGGCTTGGCGAATTGAGTGATTGCTTAGAAGGATTCTAGGCAATTGATTAGCTTGTATCGACCAGCTCGATCATCACGTTGCTCGTGGCCAAGCCTCTACCTACAGAGATCGAGCATTTCTTCCGTGTGAGAATTGCACAAAATCTTCCATCCCAAAACCACAAACCGACCCTGTTCTTGAAGAATTTCGATTTGAACCCAATTCAAATAGTGGCTGTGCGATTATGATCTTCTGAGACCCTATCTAGGGCTCATTAATATGGGCGCCCGTTTCTTGCACCCAAATGTCTGAACAACCATGGAAAATATGCAATGTGATTTTATTTGGTTAGGTACACGAGTATAAACGAAGAAGATGCATTTGGTTGCTTGAGAAACATGTCAAGCACCAATCGATTTGGGAGGACTAGGAATAAAGGATCATACACAATCAGACTGCATTATGCAAGATGGTTTGGCGCTAGCTGAAGCATCCATGATGGAGAAAACTCGTTTAGTTGAAGTTTCTTAATCCGATGTCTGAGTGGGGGAATGGTTTGTCTCGTGGTGCTACATGTTGCAGTCCATGGGCACATGTTATCAAGTTAAAACAAAAACTATGATAAATGGATGAGTTCCCTTGAGTGGCTACTAACAAGTGTTTTGCAAGGTACTATTTATCTTTATCCACGTTCGATCTCGCTACTATTTATCTTTAACGATTTTTGCTTATACATCAATCACTTCAAAAATATTGGAAGAGACTACTTCTATGGTAAAAATTGAGATAGAAGCAAGCATAGGCATGAATCTGGTTTAAAGGAAAGTGCTACTCCAAAAGTTTTATTTTATTGTTTGCCTGATCATGAATACACATGAATTATTTTGAGATCTGCTCATGCATAATACTGAACTCTATCTTCCATGTGATTTAATTGCCTTCTTAGACGCCCTTGGAATTCTCTGGATTCGGCTCTTGTTTGGGTGGTGGGCAGAAACAGTGGCCGATTTCAACGTTGCAAGCACATGCTCCCGGTGGGGCCTTGCAATCAGCATCAGTTTTGCAAGGTACGCTGAAGTTGATACCTTCCACTCCAATATTATTACTCTCACCACCTACAGTGCTCAATTTTATTTTCATTAACAAACAAACAATAAACCTCTGGATTTGTTCACAAGAAAAATATAAAAACTAAGATAAAAAAAGTGAAATATACGTACCAAAAAGTAAAAGAGTTAAAACCATGATGCAGAACAACTTGAAATAAGCCTTTGCCATTATGCTCGAGAACCAACAGTACTTCCTTGGTGGAGGAGATCTTTTGCCTTCTCTCTTAAACTTCAATTGGCAATATACAGGATGATGAGCACGTCGTCTCTTTATATAGGGAGGGATAGTTCAAAAATACTATATTTCTCTATAAGACATTTGGAAAGTGGTTTATGACAATTATTCTTTCCTCCAATGGAATGATTTTCCTCCTTACAGGCTTACAGTAATAAATGATTTTACAAAACTTAAAAAAGAAACCGATAGCAATTGTAACGCTTCCTTTGACTATGCTAATAATGATGTTTCCTTGTCTACAGGCTACACACCCCACCGAGAGCGTTTCTGATTAGGAATGACAATTTGAATCCCCTTATTTGGTGAAATTTGATATGGCAAGTAATGAGGTGGGTATTAACCGACCCGCAGTACTATGGGGTGTGGCACGTATATCAATTTCTTATCCTTACTGTCCCGTCCCGTTCATTGTTCATTTCAATTTCAATTTCTTATAGTATCTAGTTATATTTCTCCTATTTTCACCATTCTTCAACTAGTAAGATTCGATCTTTCAACTAATTAGACTCGATTACCGATTTTATTATCACGATTTTTCATTCATAAATGTATTTCTCTTCGTATTATTGTAAATAGTAAAAATTTGCGTATATTTTTTCTTATGACATGTAAGAGTGAGTCGACCCCCCTCTCCGCCCCGTACCTGCGCGGGTATTACCCTCCCCTACCCGTAGTAGCATGTGTCGGGACATGTACAGGGGCGGAGGGAGAGGGATAGAGGGTGGGTCCTGGGATCGACTGTAGTGCAGAATCGACTGCAGTGCATAATCGACGCTCGTCACGGCGGCAGATCTCGCGTTTGCGTGATGCCTGGAACACAAAGAGATGCGACCTTGTTTCGGAGAACGGAGAGATGCCTATTGCTTCACCATCTTCAAAATTAGAGGAGATTCGGTGGCGGACTCTAAATCTTCGCCTTTTGCCAAAATCCATTATCCCTCTCCATTGTCGGACCTGTAGTCCAGTCGCCGCCGTCAAGGCTTGGGCGCCGCATGTCTTTCTTTTCCTATGCAAATGTGAGAGTATGGTAAAAAGTGATGCGAATGATTTGTATATAATTTTTATAATTATAATTATTTTTTCTATTTTTTTATTTTATTTTATTTATAGTGAGGTGGAAATTTTAAAAGATTAATTTTTTTTTAATAGCCATGTCACTCATTTAACGGTCAACAATCAAAGTTCACTGTCACATCAGAAAAACTTAACGGAGGCTAACGGAGAGTGACCAAACTTGAACTGTTGAACCAATCTTAGTGACCGGGAATGAAATAAACTAATTTTAGTGGCAAACGTGAAATATTTTAGTAATTCCAGTGACCAAACTTGCAATTTATTCAAAATAATTGTATTCCAATAAGAGAAAGGGAGAGTGTAACCGATGACTCCTAATGACAAAATTGAGAAAATTAGTATGATATAGTTAGTTGAGAATGAAATTTAGGACACTTCTAGTTGGAAGTGTTAGTAAATACTAAATGGTATAAGATTCATTATTAAATATTCCCAACAACTCCAATTATTGAGACTAAACGCTCTTAATAAAGAACAACGTTCAAATACAAATGTGTAACTAAATCCTGAATAATTGTTTGATACATATAGAGTGATATTCTTAATTGTTTCAAAATATATTTAATTAACCAAGTTTTATAAATAAAAGCTTATATGATTAATGATTTAAAAGCTAACAAAATTATTTTATCGTTTGTATTTTTTTCGTTCTAAATGGGCCCATTTTGAACAAAATCCTGGCTACGCCCCTGGGCATAGATATTGAGGTACCTGCCCCCAGCCCCCTGCCATCACTAGTTCTTATCAGTAACCGTATAGTCAAGTTCAATAATCAAGCATAATCTGCTACATCATCACGCCTCTAAAAATTTTCCATATAAAAATTGAAGGGCTATGTCTCTTTCGTTTAAAGTCCTAATTTAATTTTTTTTGCACAAATAAATCAAATTAATTGTGCTCTTCAAAATGATATAAAATTAAATAGTTATATTTACCATGGTAGTCATGCTTGGTATTACATAAGATCGTACCACGTGGTATATAAGTGTATCATGGTGGTATGAACATATTATATTGTAGGATGATTGAATACATGATAGTAGGAATATACGAACTACTATTTACCACATTCATCATTGTTTACCATCAGTTACCATCCATGTACCAAGGTGGTATGAGGTGGTACATTTTGGCACTATATTTATTTCCATATAAATTTTTAAATACAATAGATCACAATGAACTCGTTCCTTCTGTGCAAATTTTTTTAAAATTCAAGATAAAAACGAAGGTGGTGCAAAAGTGTTAAGGAATGGTATGAAATTTTTTGTCGAAATTGAAAACTGATCTCATCTTCTAGATCACAACGAACTCGTTTTATCTATAAAAAAAATTGAATTGGTAGTTAGAAATAAGAAAATGAAAGTCGATTAAAAAAACTAGAAAAAATAAAAAATCATAAATCGTCATCTATTAAATCTGGATTTTTCTGAGCCTACTCAAAAGTGAGAACCCATATCTAGTTATGCCTTGATTATGCACCCTATCCTATACACTACAGTACACACCCTTATACTATCAAGTAAGGTAGGACATTTGGTTCCGTGTTTGTGATAACACAATATATGCATCTTCAAAGTCCATTTTTCAAGGCGTTTAGATGACGTAATTATTATACTTTGCTATTTTATATTGATATTGTGCTAATTGTAATTAAGTGTGACATTTAGAACTTAACAGATTTCAGCCATTTCTTCACCATTGCCTCCTACTTTGGTCATTCTTATTACATTATATTCTAGAGTGTGTTTTCTTATCATATTTCTTCTCCCAACATGTCAAGGTAGATTTGTATCAAATTTTGAGTCATTCAGAAGTTGTTTGTAGCATGCAACAAGAGGGAATATAAGAGGTCACATCCAAAAGGGTAGATCACAACCAAAATTATTGTCGTGACCTACCCCATATATAGTTGAGTTTTCATAGCCATAACATTTTAGATCACGGCCGTGAACTCCCCCTTTCTTGAGATATTGACCAGAAGCATAAAAATCACGATCGTAATCTTATGGTGGTGATCGTGTCCTCTGCACGTGGGTACGATAACTAGAAACTTATTATTTGACAAAGGGGCATACTAGAGAGTGAAAAATAGACTATGGTGATGATGTAAAGAAAGGCACGATCTTGGAGGGGTTTTGGTAGAAATATTCATCAATACAACCTCACATTCATCCAAGATACATGAAGGGTGGCCAAATCAAGAAGGAGAATATGGATCTAGCCAAGTACGTGCGTTATTTTTCCTCTTTCTATGCTATATGTATCTCTAAGTTCTAAATTCTCTAATTGCTTAGGTGTTTAACTCTAGCATGTAGAATGGATTTGTGATTGTATGTAAATCTTGATTGTGATCAATTATTTCTATATATGATTAGTTGATGTTTTATCATGATTATCCTTTTTCCTTAGGTAAGTGATTTGATGTTGAGTCCTTGACCTATGAACGATACTGTCTAATTAGGTCAAGATTGAAATACACATAAATTAGTATGAGATTGGTGCATTATAACTCCCGTGGGCCGTAGTGCCGAGTTGGGCTTAGTCATTAGGGGTTAATTGTTAGTTAATTGTTGGGTTATTTGGATAATTCGTATTAGTTTATTGTGTCTTGTTGAGGAAGTCGTTAATTACTTTTTGGGTTAGGTTTAGATTACCTTGTTGGAGAGGGAAAGGGTTATGAGAGTAGTCCTATAAATATGTACATTGTTCTTTGGTTTTCGTTAAGCAATGAATAAGAGAAAATTAGATTAGTAGTAATTTAGGTATCGTTATCGCGTTTCATTATTTTCGTAGAAGAGTTCGAGTTCCACGATACGTGAGATTCCGCTATCATGCATCAATTGGTATCAGAGCCTGGTTAGGCGCTGAATTCGCTATGCCGATTTTCACGCAACATCTAGGTGGGGAGGAGTTTTGCGCGCCGCCGTGGGCATGGGACGAAGTTCTTAAAGGGGGGAGGATTGATGCGTGACAGCATCTTGAGCCGAGCCCATTATTATTATTATTATTATTATTATTGTGTTATTATTGTTATTTGTTGGGATATTCGGTCATTATTCGGGTTATTCGTATTAGTTTGGGTCTAGGATTATTAATTACGTATCTTGTTTAGGAAGTATTCGTTTACTTGTTGCTTTAGGTTTGGGTTTCCTTGTCTTAAGAGGAAAGGGGTTTGTAGGATTAGTCATGTAAATATGTACCTTTGCTCTTCGTTTTATTAAGTCGATCAATAAAGTACTAGTAGTTAGTAGAGAAAAGTAGCTCTTTTATCGTGTTTTCTAGTTCTTTCGCTAAATCGCTCGAGATAACCGGTGCGTGAAATCTTGTTCCAGTGATGACAATTGCTTCATCTAGACTAGTTTTATTTGCTTATTTGTAAAACTCATTCGATAAATCAAGCTCTAATTCTCTAGGTAGCTGGTTGATTGCTTGACTTTGAGCCGATTTGCCTTCCTAGAAGAGTGATTGAGTGCATAAATTTTGACTTGATTATTAAGCTTAGTGATTCCTCTCATAATCACATTAAATGAGAATAGGGGTGAGCGATACTGTCTTATTAGGTCAAGATTGGAATACACATAAATTAGTTTATTTGAGATGAAAATTGCTTCATTTAGACTTGTAGTTTTATTTGCTCATTGGTAAAACTCATTAGATAAATCTAGCTCTATTTCTCTAGGTACCTAGTTGATTGCCTGACTTTTAAGCCGATTCGCCTACCTAGAATAGTGATTGAGCGCATAACTTTTGACTTGATTATTAAGCTTAGTGATTCCTCACATCAAATGAGAATAGAAGTCAACGTTGTTTGGATTATTTCAATCAATTTTCGATCTAATCCTACAGCGATTTTACTCTAAACAACACCTCTTCCCTAGTGCTTTTCCGTTTGGATAGTTTAGTTTTTATTTTTTTCC